TATCATGGTTTTATCCTGATAACAAACACAAATTTTGCAAAACTGTGAAATATTTCCGTAATATCATACCTTTTTCATCAAATAATTTTTACATTTAAGTTTGCAAAGCAAGATTTGTATTCTAACCCGCAGATTTAGTTAATACAATCTACTTCTGTTGGGAGTTAAGCCCTCGATGGTACTGGGTAAAATCCGTACGTACATTGAGTCGGCGGGATTAAATCTTAGGTGCCACTTTTCCCCTCTCTCATGTTGTAAGGTGAAAGGGGGATGGTTGAGATATGAATAAACTAAACTTAAGTTTAACCCTGTAACTTTTCATTTTCCTAAACGTGAGTGTGTCCTACATCAGTGAGAAACTTTGTCGTATGTCATTTCGCAATGCCCCCATGCCTCCCCCCCCCCCTTATTTTTTTTAGAAAATTGCGTGTTAATAGCAGATCTTTGATTGTTTCTGTTGAATTGATACATATATTTCATGGAATCGAGACAATTAAGAGCTAGACATATTGTGTAAATGGGGTCAACTGTCTATTTGTCGAAGACTGTATGTATGCAGCAAGATGTTTATTTTTGTTTTTGTCGTCGGGCTGCTAGTCCATTGACGTATAATCCATCCACATCTGATTCTCCTTCTATTTCACACTTATTTTTCCGTGTACACTACTGGCTGAAAAAAAAAGAATATAAATCTGATAGGACTTATAAGACATAATGTTAGAACACCAGTATTTTATTGAAGATTTTACACGTCTCCCTCTAGGTGGCTTGTGGTTATTTCTGTTGTTGGGTTGCTGTCTCATTGACGTTTACCTCATATAAATTTATTCCTGCATTACTTAATTTTCCGTGTACACTGCTGGCTGACAAAATAAATATATATAAATTTGATAGCACTTATCAGACATAATGTTAGGACACTTGTCTTTTGTTGAAAACTACACGTCTCCCTATATATGTCTTTCGGTTATTTCTATAGTTGGGTTGCTGTCTCATTGACGTGTACCTAACATCTCTATTTATCCGTGCATCATTTGCTTTTCCGTGTGCCCAGATTGCTGGAAACAAAATATATTATCATAGAAATTTGATAGCACTGCCAGTTTTGTTTTGTATCAAATATAGCGTGTTGAATATTTAGATTTAAATGTTTTCTACTTAACGTCTAGTAGCAAATATTTCACGCATATTAAAGCCATTATGCCACTTAATCCAATCACAAAGCTAAGGCACATGTGACGAAAATACAAACCACAGATTACGAAGCCATACATTAATTGTTATTTAGAAATTGTCTCAACAGTATAATTTATTTCATCGTTTTTGGTTTAGTTTACCAATTGATTATGGTAGTTCGTCTTGTTGCTGTTTGGTAATTGCGGTTGCATGGTGTTTTATTGTTTACTTTTGAATGATATGCTGTCATACACTCTAATATCAGTTACTGTACTTCAGAGAAGATGCCTAACAGCAACGCCTTAAATAGTATAGGAGGACATATCTGAGGGTCTGGATGGGGTCTTTTAATTCTGTATTTTTTTTTCATGCAGTTATTTTTCTCTGTTCTTTATAAATTTAGCCCAATATTCTCTATTCATTTTTATTTCAACACCCCTTTATTCTTTATTCTTTAATTTGTTTGCCTATTTTACTCTATTCTTTATTTCGCCCATTATTCTCTATTCTGTAAACCCCATCTAGACCCTCATATCTGTGTGCAATGCAATACAATGGTTAACATACATAACCTTGTCATACCGTCAAAGAATTTTATGAAACATTGGCGGACGTTTTTTTTTTATTAAGAGACATATATATATATATAATAAGAAGAAGATGTGGTCTGATTGCCAATGGGACAACTCTCCACCAGAGACTAACTGACATAGAAGTTAACAACTATAGGTCGCCGTACAAGATTCAACAATGAGCAAACCCCATACCGCATAGTTAGCTATAAGAGGTCTCGAAATGACGAATGCAAACCAATTCAAACGAGAAAACTAAAGGCCTGATTTATGTACTGTAACAAAACAATGAACGAAAAACAAATATGATATACAGCAACAAACGACAACCACTGAATTACAGGATCCTTACGTGGAACAGGCACACTATCTTTTCTTGGCCCTTATTCCTATCCAGGTAATTTTATTTTACTTCCAAAAATTGTATGGTGGCGGGATCATTATACCGTTATTTAAACATCAGACCGTACTGGTTACTGGAACTTAGGATACACCAAACCAGGTACATTGTGTATTTCATATCTGAACAACAGGCAAAATATGCACTCAATTTTAGAATTACATTCATACATTTTTGTATTATTCAGAATTGTCAGTCAATGTGTGTTTTACAAGGATCACCAGTCCTTCGCCTTTCATTTGATACCTTAATAACTAAAATATATTCTACATAGTTTTATATTTACACCTATCCGTAGGAACTATTTTGTTTTCATCTTGTATGTATCTTGACTTTGACTTTGACTAAAATAGATATGAACAGTTTCAATCCTGAAAGATGAAATTATGCTGTTGTCAATATTATACTGTGATATGAAATGTACATCAACTCAGATTGACGGCATTGCAAAGCACTTACATTTTGTATTTTACGTACATAGATCTGCGCTGAAGAAAATGCCGCGCAAAATTGCTATTTTATTTGCTTACATACTTCACTTTAATGCCGTTGATTATGCAAAACTTCCCCCCTTGCACGTGAAAAGTGGTGTGTATTTGAACCGACCATTTAATAAAGTAAATAACAGCGAATATCATGCTGTTCAATTGTGTGTTGTTGCATTGCTGTTTTATTGAAGTATTAGACCTTGCATCGTCTTTTATTCATATTCTTTGTCAAAATGTTGTTAACTATTTACTAAACATTGAAAATATTATATCATTTTATATATATGATCGTTAATAAAAAGGTGGTATGAATATAACAAAATAGGGTAATCCAACAAAATTCATCATTTTTCACCACCAGTATCATGAAAAAATAATATCTTATTTTATATTGAGCATATCACAGTATAGACTACATTTTGGTAAAGTATGAAGAAATTCTATTATTGTTCGTGTATTCTCCCATATCACCTTATATATAATTAATGCATAAGACCAAAAAAAAAAAAAACAGTATGGCCGACTCGACTGTGGACGAACTTGGAGTATGGCCGAAGCGACCTGAGGACGAACTGGTAGAGTGGCCAAAACGTCTCGACAGCATGCACACTTCATGTGTAATGATATTAATAAGAGAATATATGATTTCTATTCTGCAATCGGTATACTGCGTTGATGCGATTTTATGTTGAAGAAAATCAGATCTCTGAGGATACAATATGGCTACGGTCCTCTTTTGTAACAAAACGTTATGTATAATGGATTTCAAAAACTTTCAGAAGGTAGTGAATATATCACTGCGCACGCAAAAAATCGATATCATTCATTTACATTAAGTAATGGTTGTAAGCTTTGTCAATATATATAAACAAAATATTTGAAATCGTCTGACAAAAGTATTATTTTCTGGTTACATGTCCTCAATATTTCTTTCATTTGCTCCTATATCATTGCAAGACCCAACAACAACAAAAAGCATCAAACGAAACCAAAACTTTTAAAGTTCTAGAATAGTGGGGAAAAGACAACAGGGATTTGCTAAAAGAGAACACGGGGGAGAAGGGACCATGTCATCCACCTTCTTTTTAAAATTCAAACTAGCCATTTCTATACATTTAAGGAATGACTATAATATTTTTTCTGTCTATTTGAAATAACATAAAAAATGTGGTGCACACTGAATAACCCGCGTATTACAGTCATTCCTTATAATTTCATTCTGAATTCCATTTTTAAGGAGTAAATCGCGAAAAAACGTTGATGACGTCACGGTCACATGACAAAATTATGTCTATGAGCTGATAGACATAAAACTTTCAGCCAATCAGAAGACGTGTTACATCCAAAATTAAATTATATAAAAATAAATTGTAATATTTCCCACGGGTTTCTTTAAATAAATGTACATATATATTTAATTTAGATTTATATTCAACTTACGCTATAATCATCGTTTTTCGTATGTGCATATATGGATTTTCCTTATTAGGAACGCTCAAATCGGAAAATTTGAAAGTCAAGAATGACTGTGCGGTATGGGCTTTGCTCATTGTTGAAGGCCATACGGTGACCTATAGTTGTTAATCTCTGTGTCATTTGGTCTCCTGTGGAGAGTTGTCTCATTGGCAATCATACCACATCTTCTTTTTTATATTAAATAATTCTTTGTCTTTAAATAAGCTTTCGATTTTCAAGTATGTTGGCCTTGAGCATCACTGAAGAGACATTGATTGGCGAAATGTGAATCTGGTGCAGAAAAAAATGGCACCGTTTATGTTATTGACTGATTTAAAGCTGTATGGGCACTATTAAACCATTTTTAATAATTCTTAGACAGTAATTGATGCAATGGAGAAGCTACTAAAACATTCCTTAGGAAAATAAATAAGCAGGTAGGATATTTGTTTACTTCTTGCAAGAATTGTGAAATTATTAAGCAATGATTTGTTTTTCTTATTAGTATCACCATGTATCAAACAAAGGTACTTTGCAAATAATGTCATGAATGTATAATGTATGCATCAACCGCCATACTATTTCACTATTATATAATACATTTAATGTCAGAGTGGCATAAATGAACACCCGAATAATATGGTTTGATTGTCCTTGTTGTGAGATTGAAATTTTATATTGATTGACCAATATATGATGACGACCGAAACAAATGATAATGATACTATCAGTTTTTCTGTGTGATGAAGATAAGTTCTTCAGTGACGAATTTCATGGTTACAAAAATAGCCATAAATAAGACCAGGCTCCAGCATATCTAATTAATTGGGAAACGTGACCTCGTCATGTCAGTTATTTCTCAATAAGCCGAAAATATTCTAAGAGTGTAGGTCTAATAAAAATTTGAAATGAAGTAAAACTATGTTTTATTGACTACACCAGTAATTGTTTACAAAAACAATCAACTGATTTGCTAGCTACGTCTTTGTTTTTACTCATATGCTAAATGTTATCAATTATAGTTAAGGAATTGCTGGGCCACTAAGTTTACAACTGTCTGCATTGAACCACTTGCATTTACCATATCTCTCTCTACAGATTGCATTGTTTGAGTAGCAATGAAAAGTCGAATCTGGAATCTTGCAGTAAGTAGATTGTATGCTGAAATCCTGCAGATAAAAAAACATAGATATGTTATACATTTTAGGTCTTGCTTTTTACGGTAGACGGCATAAATGCTACTAGACCGCAACCATATTATCAAACACAGTCTAGAACATGAAGGTAATGACTTTTAGTCTGAGATGGTCATTTTGACATCATCAGAATAGTCGGAACAATACATAACCTAGTCATGTTAAATCTCGCAGTCGATGTTCAGACTTATTCACTGGGTCAAATCAAGTACTATTAATAAAATTGAGAATGAAAATGAGGAATATGTCAAAGAGACAGCAACCCGACCAAAGAGCAAACAACAGCCGAAGGCCACCAATGGGTCTTCAACGCAGAGAACAAATCCCGCACCCAGAGGTGGTCCTCAGCTGGCCCCTAAATAAAATTGTGTACTAGTTCAGTGAAAATGGACGTCACACTAAACACCAAAACATATACATGAACTAAAACTAAAAACATGCAAGAATAACAAAGGCCAGAGGCTGCTGACTTGGGACAGGCGCAAAAATGCAGCGGGGTTAAACATGTTTTGTGAGATCTCAACCCTCTCCTTATACCTCTAGCCAATGTAGAATAAAGAAACACATAGCAATACGCACAGTAAAACTCAGTTTAAAAGAAGTCCGAGTCCGATGTCAGAATAGGTAAAAAAAGAAAAATGACAATGATACATATATGAACAAAAGACTACTAGCAGTTACTGTCATGCCAGATCCAGACCTCAATTAAACTGATTGAAAGATTATATCTTCATCATATGAAAATTAAGTACAATCCCTCCCGCTAGGGTTTAGTGTCATACCATCATAAAATATATAAGAAGAACATAAGTCCATTTAGTTTTGTGTTGATACGTACATGTCTGAAAAGTTCAGGCAAGATCCTTATTGAAACTATCTGTTTTTGGTAAATGTATTTCTATTTGTATGCATCTGTTAAGTTAAGCCTGTTTCAACTGATTTATATAGTTTGTTGTAATGTTGTACTGTTACGCCATTATCCCAGCTTAGGGGAGGGTTGGGAGCCGTTAACATTGATTAACTGTTAATATGATTAATTCAGTTGTTGTCGTTTGTTGCTGTGTTACATATTTGTTTTTCGTTCATTTTTTTTTAACATAAAGTAGGCTGATAGTTATCCCGTTTGAATTGTTTTACATTTGTCATTTCAGGGCCTTTTATAGCTGTCTAGCTGACTATGTAGTATGGGATTTGCTCATTGTTGAAGGTCGTACGGTGATGTAAAGTTGTTAAATTCTGTGTCATTTGATCTCTTGTGAAGAGTTGTCTCATCGGCAATTACACCTCATCTTCTTTTTTTTCATATTTAATCGAAATGTCTGAATAGTACTGATTTTACAAAAGTCTGAAAATTGACTGAAAGACGGCAAATGACTGTGTAAGTTATTGTTGTCTTTTAACATGTTTTAGAGCTTTTCAGATTAACATAACGATTTCGGAACAAAATTGTGTTACACCTGAAAGGGTAAGGATATGGATAGGGTCTTCTTTTAAACATATTTGTATCCATTTCTGTGTTTATTTTTATGAATTTCTCTATATTCTCTATAATTTAGCAGCCAACTATGTTATCTTATAAGTAAAGATCGTTTATGATCTCTGGGATTACTCTTGAAAAAATAGAAAAGATTAAAAGCTAATATTGATGTATGCAATAACACGAGGAAAAAAATCACTGCACAGAAAAATCATCAGGTGCAAAAGCGAGACAAGAAATATAAAAGGGTATGTTAACCCATTAAACGAGGACTAATGCATCTCCATAGAAAAATTAATCACAACGAAAAGACAAAAGATGCCTACAAAACACAGCAAAAACTACAAAATACGGAGCAACCCGAACGTCAATTAAAATTGGGGGTAATCTCAGGTGCTCTGTAAAGGCAATATGGACGACTTATCAGCTGCATGTTTGTGATACATCAGATGCAACTGCAATATTTAGAGAATGTGTAATGCAACTTTCAGCACTGTTAGATAAATCATGGAGGTTTTTGAGAACATATGGAGGAAGCCAGAGTGCCCGGAAAGTTCCACTAACCTTCTGTAAGATGTGTAAGACAGCTTACAACCTTAATCAATTTAGATCTTAGAAGTCAATTTGCCACAAGTTGCACGTTGAACTGGATAATTAAATTTAAATCTTATACTTACCGTGCATTTACGATCACAGTTTCGTTTATATGTGTTCATTCCAGTCCCTAACAAGTAGTCCCGAACCAACGGCATTGTCGCAAGGTCTTTGACATTATAGACAATATTTGAAGAAAGGCTTCGTAATCCATCGGTGTCAGTTTTAAATCCTAATTAAAATATGTGATAGAATCAATAGCTGAATGCTACTGAACAAACAGCGTTACATTTAAAAGTGCATAGACGCTTTATTACAAGTTGTAAATGGGATATGAATAAAACGTAAAGTAGCAAAATACCGAACTCCAAATAGCTATTCAAAACGGAGTTCGTTATTAAATAGCTAAAAAGGTAAACATATTTAAAGATTTACGAAACAAAACAAATCTGTCCACACTGCTTTTAAAGATCTAGTTTCAATTTTGAAGTCGATATGACGTGAACACTTTCTTGAGATGATTTTTTAACTGACGTTATAGAAAGTAAAGAACAATTACATTTATTTATACAATTCAAGTCGTATGCAATTAATATAACTGCATTTGAATCATGTCGTGGTAACCTCGGTTTTGACAGAGTCGAACGTGACTATTGATTCACGTTTACCTTAAAAAACATCACACTAGATCAAAATATTGAAAATGGCTCAAGTTCTCTTTAACATAACTTAGATACATCCCTAATTTTATTCATAAGGGTTCTTGGAGCGTTTGTTATATGTACTGTATATAATTTCCCCTGCATTTGTTGGTGGTTTCTTTTTATTGTGTTAAAATCATCCTGTCTTCATTTTTTTGTGTATATTAAAAGTAGATCTAATACAGTATTATCCTTCCGGAAGGATCCTTTTGTTGTATTATCTAAGACATGTCAGATTACCTGATAAGACATATTCTTCTCCAATTGTCAGGCTAATGAAACAGAGGCCACCATTCCCCGATGTTTCAACTATAATCTCTTTGCCTTCCTTGATCTGGGCAGGTCCCTGTGATATTAAATACTCTTGAATGGTAATACCTTATAACCATATGTAGTAATGTATAGAACAACTTAAAGGTATACGTTCATGACAACGTAATGAAATACACCATAATACAAATTACATAAAGACATCAGGAGGACGTTCTATTTTTTCCTCAACACTAGTAAAACGTCTATCCACAACGTGAAGTCTGAATCATTTTGAAAGTAACCAGATGTAAATAAATCGCACACTTTTGAAAGGAGTAGGTTCGGTGAGTATCATATTAAAAATTATTGTATTACATATTTTCAAATCGTTAATTAATATTAAAGATCATAATCGAAATTATATTTCACAAAAAGTTTTCAACAATAACAATTCTTATAAAAAGATACCATAAATGATCGATAGATGAAAAAGAAATAATTCGCCGTTATAGAACTTTAAGCATTGAGAGCATTTTTTCCAAAAGTATTCACCAAAACGTTAATACCATTTGATATCAATCAATGACATGGCGGTGGCTTTAGTTTATGGCAATAACGTCTATTTCTCTAATTTGTGTGTTATTTTCACTTTTCTTGATCGGTGTGAGAAAAATATTTCTCCTCACTAGTGAAATATCTGTTCTCGACAAATGGTTGGTCGAAAATTATGACGTCAAATTTTTTTCCTTTCTTCTGAATTTTCTATTTTGACGTCTAGAAAAAGGCGACCTGATGACGTCACATATAATGAACACAACTTTCAACTTGCAAATCTTTGAAAAGGAAGGATAAAAATCATTAGAGAAAAAGCTTCTACCACTATAACTTGTGTATTACGATATTTCTCCACTCTCAACAGTTGATTTTAAATATTTAAAAAGCTCGGCAAGCCTCTCGCTTTAAATCAAAATTTAACTGTCTCGAGTGGAGAAATATCGTATCACACTTATTGCAGTGTTCGAATCTGTATATAACACATAGACCATTGTTTCAAGAAAAATAAGTGATATTATAAGTTGATGATTAGACATGCAAGAAAGTGAATTAAAACTATTTTTGTTTAATTTTTCTTATGAATTGTTGACATTCACAAGCCGACATGTAAGCCTAGGAAAAATACAGCCAAGCCTTCACAAACTAAATACTCAAGTCAGAGAAGTAAATTATTATATCAAACATGGTGACAAGATCTTTTTGTCGATGCATGCGCTCTATGGGTCTAGTCTTTAAAAATCAATAAAAGCTTACCTCTCCCGATACATTTTCGAGAAAAATTATGAATCTTGTAATGCTAAATTTTAACAAAACAAAATATATTATGTTTGACTACACTGTATGTACTACATGTATAAGCTTATACAAAATATTGTTGGCGGATTGTCAGATTTATGTGGTTTTTTTTTGCTTGGATTTTTAAAACAGTAGTTGTCTGTGATGCATGTTAACACAGTTTTGACTACAAGATTTCTATTATTGTCACAGTAACCGATCATGTCTGTTCGGGTTGTTTACCAAATTGTTTGCTTATAACGGAATTTTGAACAACTGTCGGACACGAGGGATGTTTATATAGCCGTAAAACCAGGTTAAACCCACCACTTTCCTCTGCAATTTTGGTTGTTAATTTTTGGGGGTATATTTTTCCATGCCTTCAATTTCTTATGGTAAAAATGTGAAAGACTGAATCGTTATTTCTATTCGTTTTTATGCTTTATTTGTCGTTTTTTTTTGTTGATTATTGATAAAAGATCCTAATCCAAATCACTGTACAAACCGTTCGTTGGAAACTAAAGAATCAACAAATAAATAAAAAATAATTCGCCGTTAGAGAATATAACATGTATAAAGCATTACCATAATATTTTAAAAAGCGTTCATCAAAACACTTTGAACAATTGATAACCAACCGATGATATGACCTTGGTTTCATTCTTTGTGTACTAATATAAAAAATAACACATAATCTGTCCGATTCTGAATTGGCAAGTAATACCCAAATCTTTTAATATATTCTTATAAAAAAGAAGATGTGGTATGATTGCCAATGAGACAAATCTCCACAAGCTATTTTACCTTCAATTTCTTGATGACATGTATACTATATTTATACACAGCGAAGTTATCATTAAGATCTCCAGGTGGTCCATTTATCTTGGTGACACTTTTCACCGTCCCATGTATCACTGAACAAATAAACATTGTACTTATATAATAATAGATACAAACACAGTTGTACGATTGAAAGGGAATAGTTACATGTAAGCGCTACTTCATTTTATTTTTTACTTTAATAAAAGATAACAGTGCCAAATGTTATTTCCACTTTAAAAAATGCTTAATGGAACATTCTGATCAATTCTATTGTATATCTTAATATAAATAGGTATATATATTGTTAAATTCTTTCATATATACAACGATTTTGTTTGGAAATTTGGCTCCACCTTGTTTTTCGTTGGTTCATTATTGAATGACTTTTACGTCTTTTGGTCTCTGGTGGTGAGTTTTCTCATTGGAAATCATCCAGCATCTTCTTACTTTTATATCAAGAAGCTACGGTCAGTTTTATATAAATCGTGGGGTCAATAGGTTAGAACAATAATAATTGAATAACTATACCAATAATAATAATAATCATTAGTTATAATAAAGATAATAATAATAATAATAATGATAATAATATTAATAATAATAATAATAATAATAATAAAAGTAATAATATTAATAATAATAATAATAATAATTATTATTATATTAATCAAAGTAATAATTATCTAATAATAAGGATATTTGCATATGGTTGGAAATCACACAGTTAGTAACAACAAACTTATCTTTTCTGTGGCTCTTAATAGTCATGATAAATACCTGTATTCCTTGTTGGTATTACCTAGGTATGTTTTCTATGTGATTTAGATTTTGAATAAAACAGCATATTGACCTGGAGAAAAGGATACTCAACGCGCTTAAAAACGTTGGCCTCAGTGAATATCAGATATTCAAATGCCAATAAAATCCCATAATTACCTCAGCAAACAAAAATAATTGTTTACAAGTACAAGTACCAAAAAAACTACAGCAAAATTTCCTTTCTTAATAATTGAAAGACAAACAGTAGCTAGACACACTACTCAGCACTAGAAATAACAAAGTAACAACCAACCTTGCAAATACAGTAAATACTTATTTCTGACTTGTCAAACTGTGAATGTAAACAAACTATGTAATAAAATATTTATATGAATTTGAATAATTAAAAACCTTTAGTAGATAAAAAAAAAACAAAGCAATAACTACAACACCTGTAATGGCAATATTATGTACAACAACAAAATAGTACGATGCACATTGTTTTAAATGTGTCTGGATGTACCAGATGGCCAAACAAATTAGATGAATTATACGGATGACAACTCTGGCTCAAATTTGAACATAAACGAGTTAAAACACTGGTAAGGCCTAATATTCGACGAATGGAGAAAAAGGAGACTTACAGACATTATCAACGAAAAATACTTTACTGCCTTTCTCTTTATCAATGCATGATGTATGTAGCAGTTTCAAAATCTACAGATAATTTGATAAACAAATCAATATATATGAAAATGATATAATCTACTTACCAAAATAACTGTGACAAAATTTAACTTGTGGATGCTCGAGGGACGGAGAGCAACCAAACACACTACTCAACACATAAAATGAAAAAAGCAACAGTCCACTCGACAAAAACTGTAAATACGACATTATTAATTGTCTAACTGTTTATGAAATATGTCTGTGCGTTGAAATAACTACTTATGACAGATATAGTGTAGAAATTAATTGTTAAGAGGTCACAAACAACATGACATAATGTGATCAAACTGCAAACAGAATCTACAATGAATTATGGAACACCAGGCCTCATACAAATTAATCACCTGGTGTTATGTAACAAATATTTTAACAAACAAAAACCACCTTGAAAGATGTAATAAAATATTACCACAGACCAATAATATCACAAGTCTATTAAATTTGTGGAATATAAACAAATAGAAAAAAAAAAAAAAAAAAAACAACAACAAAACACCTATTTCGTTACTGTTTAATTTCACTCTTTTCGAGAAATTCATTTTCCCAGTCCACCCATTGCGATAGACATTGGAGATCAGCTAACATATATTCAAAACGAAATTTGAATATTTCTACATTACCATGGAAAGAATTATTGATTATGTTTTGATTCTCATTATTATAGTTATTAGGTCTATCCTACGTTCCGCGATAAGACATTTCAAAAGTGATTTGATAGTTACATTTTCTTATCTTTTTCCGTCACTTAGTGTAAAAAAAATATGCAACTGATTTATGTGATTAGCTGGCTACATGTTTTAAAAATTATTAGAGTTTGATAACGTTTATTCAAATATTGTTCATGTGTTTAAGGAACTGGCATGACACTTAGTTTACAACTGTCCGCATTGTACCAACTGCATTTACTGTTTCTCTTTCTACAGATTGCTTTGTCCGAGTGACATTGCATAACAAAGAAAGTAAATGAATCAGCAATATTTGGCGTCTTGCAGTAACTAGATTTGTGCTGATATCCTGAAAATTTCTAAACCATAACAAGTTTAAGTTAAAAGTTGTTTCTCTATATAACTTCATGAATAATTCAATTATGTTCTAAGAGTACCAGGAAAAGGATTGGGTCTTCACTCATTTAACTGTGTTAGCTAATATCTGTATATACCTTACGTCAATTGGTATGTATTCTTCATACTTTAGAAGACAATTGGGTTCTGATATTTAATCTTGATTTATCTCCCATATCTCTCTATTATGTAAACACCATTTCTTATAAATGAGGGTTCCGTTCTGATTTTCTGAGGTATTATTCATCTGCCCTTTACAAATTAAAGTAAATCAAAACGTTTCTATTGAGTAAGAAAACAAATCATGAATACAAACAAACAAACCCCGGTACACAAGGCGGAACATATCAAAGGAAATTCAAACTCCTTTGTCGAAAACAAACTGCTCATTCCATGGCAAAATAAAATCGTATAACGTTGAAAAAACCCGGATGATAGCAAGTGCGCCTTATATGCTACACGTTTGTAAAACAGTGAGCAAAGGCCAATATATTAAAAGACGATTTGAACAGATTAAATGATATATTGTTTATTTCGGGTTTATACGGTAGCCAAATGATAACGGCGGAAGACGTCAGAGTGCCCGGTTACAACAACCATCCTTTTGCATGAAAACTGACAACGTTAACCTTATTATAAAAATAAGTTAACTTATCACGTGCTGATCTTTGAATGACAGAAATTCAAATAGTATACTCACCTTGCATCCACGGTTACAGTTTCTTATATATGTATTTTTTCCAGTCCATAACAAGTAATCCCGATTCAATGGCATTGTCGCAAGGTCTCTGACCTTATAAACAATATCTGAAGAAAGGCTTCGAAATCCACCAGCGGCAGTTTGAGCTCCTAATGAAAAGAATTGATAGATTCATTGGCTGATTGCTACTTAACAAACGGTGCCTATTCCGATAAGATGAAACGCTGAGTGTTGTCTTTGCTTACATTCATATTTTGCCTATCCCATGTCATGAGGCTGTTATTCAGCGGTTTTCATTGGTTAATGTCTCTCTAATTAAAAATTGTTATGACAATTATTGTTTTTGCGTAAATCAGATGAGGCCTTTGTTTTTATTTTTTTTTTTTTTGTGGCAGCTTGTCATGGCGGGACTTTTATACCTTTTTACCCGTAATGGATTTTGCTCATTCTTAAAAGCCGTAAGGTTTTTGATATATGTGTTTGTATATATGTAATTACTTGCACATCAGTTAGTCCCTGAAAAATCTTTGTATCATTAAGAATCGTACTTCATATCCCTTACTTATATAATACTTATATTTCTCGACTGTCATTTGAAGGAAAGATGTATTGCTAGAAATTAATCTTACTCATGGTTATATTTAAAGAATTGTCATTGAACACATAATAACGACTCCTTCTTTGTTGGTATAGAGCTCCAAAACCGAACTCAAGTTGTCTTTCATTCGTTAGTTGTCTATATATACTACTTAAAAAGGAAGCATATCAAATGGAATTGATTTTGTAAGAACCCATTTTTGTCACCAACTTTAAAACAACAATGAATATGACATCGCTTGATCTTTAAACATATGCTACCAAATTCAATAAATCTCAATAGCTTCATCTATATAAGATATTTAGATAAGATGTTTGATAATAAAACGTTTTTTTTTCCCTTAAAAAAAACCTTCTTTTTTTTTCTTTTCTTTTGAAATAAAGTCAAAATGTCCAGACGCATTGTAAATATAAAATGTTAAAATTTCAAGTTGATGTGACGTGGAACTTGTCTTAGAGTCTGGATTTTTTAATGACGTTACACAAAGTAACCAAAAGCAACTGTAAACCTATGTTTTACATTCAAGGAACAACCCCTCTAGTGACAATAGTGAAAAAGGAACTGCTTCTATTCAAGATCGCTTGTCTTCTCTCCAAATATTGAGTTAAAGGGGTTCCAGTTTTAAGCATTGTAATTAATTTTCTAAATCTCTCGGTGGCTTTTTATAAGTGACAGTCTTTGCTTTCCTTTTTCCTAAAAAAAAAATTATATGATTCGTCTTTTTTTTTTTCATTTTTAGTGGGGATGAATTTTGTTTCTCCTTCAGTTTTTAATTGCCCTAAAGGCATCTTATCTCCCTTTTTTTTAAATTAGAGAGGGAGAAATTGTAGTCCCTCTAGAAATCGACTTCTATTTTACTAGTTAAATGCAGGTCTCTCCAAATACCTGATAAGACATATTCTTCTCCAACAGTCAGGCTGAGTGAACAGAGGGCGCCATTGCCTGATGTCCCAACTATAACCTCGTTGCCCGTCCTTATCTGGTCAGGTCCCTGTGATATAGAATACTCTTGAGAGATAATACCTTACGATTGCATGTAAGATGTGTTATGAATATATTGCACACATTTTATAGGAGTTAGTTCAGTGAATGCCAAATTTGACCCCGAATGTTAATTGTTTCGAGATAAAAATATGGCAAGTTAATGCAAATACATGCAAGAAGGAGACAATAGAACTATTTATACTTATTTTTGTCTGATAAAACGTTGACATTCACAAGCCAACTCGTGTTATGATGCACATAAATGCTTCCTTTTATTCAAATTGGGGAACCTTCATTCAAAGACCACCTGTATTTAGAGACCACTTTTGCCTTCTCCCTTGGGTGGTCTCTTAATACAGGTTTGACTGTATTGGCTTCTTTGTTATAATTGTTTAGTCAGTAATGTTTTGTATATGTCTGTGATGTATGTTTACACATTTTTGCTGGTTGATCCCTATTATTCTCCCATTTACCAATTGTGTTCATTTGGGTCGCTCAACGAATTTTGTCTATACATGTAGGAGGTTAGGCTAGCTATATAACCAGTTTTAACCAACTATGTTTTCGAAAAATGCCTGTACAAAGTCAGAAATATGACAGTTGTTTTTCATTCGTTGGTGGATAAAGTCTAACATTTGATATATTTTAAGTTTAAGGACGTTCCCTTTTCCAATTAACCTTTAAGTTAGATATTTTTGTCAATACTTTATTTTCATTTTTATTCATAGCTTTAGATATGATTTATTGTGATATTGGTCATGAAATCCTTATTAGGAATATTGGCTAGAAATAGAGGCCATGATAGGACCTACTCCTATGATGAGCATGACAATTATTGATAATTTTGAATAATTGCAAAGTCAACAATGACAATTTGTATACATGGGTATCGCAATTTACAGTGACAGAACATTTTCTTTTGTTTATGAAGCTATGACATTGGAACGACAAAAATAGAATTAGCAATTTAATAAAGAGTTTTCTTTTAATTTGTTTGATTTGTTTGTTATTAATGTTTTTTTATATCACACATTTGTTAACGTTTCAATGATTCTGTAGTCACCTCCGTAACCAGGCTCAAACACAGTATAATATCAAAGAATGCTCGAGTTTACTTAATCAAGATTGACAAACTTTCTTACCCGGCTTGCACAGTGTTACATGCAAGTATGCCGTCCTACATTCTAAAACTCTTTTTCTTAGAAGATTTAATGAACATCTCGAATCGTCATTTAATTGAATTTGCAATTCAGGTCAATATGACCCATTTATACACATTAGCCGTTCAGACATATAAACACAAATACAATTCATTACCATCATCAACGATATTGAATTTTTAAAACAGTTGTTTTGCTGAACCACTTGAAACAAGGATAATCGTATGACCATGAATATTGCATTGATAGAACAACAGTCGATCAATCAACAATTAATAAGTAAAATAAATTGAAAAAAACTAAATTAAAAGCACCATACACAAAAACAAACACGCGATAACTCCTCTGTTGGGAGTAATATATTTAATGATTATATAATAAAACAATAATTTATATCGTTTCAATATTGAAGCATAAGTACATTGTTTTCAAAAAGATTGTCTGGAGTAAGTTGGACTGGCTTAGGTCAGTGCTATATAAGCGAGTCGCAAGTTAGTTTATAACAATATTTATTCAATAACAGACAACTGGATCAAGTTATGAGTCAAAATGCGATATTTGACTATCATTTGAATCATAAGTTAAAACGAATATTGTGAGCTTAAATCCATCAATTGGAACCACTACTTCGAAATTCTGATAGGTTCGGTCGAGAATTTTGCGAGGCGATGGACTGATCTCAAACAAGAAGACAAAGTTAATCTTTCCGAATGGCTTAAAGAAGTAAGGTCGTTCATA